GAAAGAGAAGTGATCTTCTTCCGTTTGCAGTGGTGTAAGTTGGAGTAATCCTCATGATAGGGGGATGCATGGCAGGATGAGCCTTTCCTGACGTTCTGCAGGAGCTGTTTGGGCACACAGTCCCACTGGGGTTCAGTGTGAATTGAAATCTGTTGGCAAACATTGTTCTGTGAATTGAGTTGTCTGAGAGCATCTGTTCTCTTTATGCCTGAAGCTGAAAGGAAAAGGCAGTGGAGCAGCTATCTATCTATCTCCTCCAAAGTAACATTCCAGAGTAATATTTTACAGGGAGACAGGTCCTTATTTGGATGGTGACCAGAGCCAGTTCAGGATAAATTCATTATCGTGGTGTTCAAGATAGATAAATTGCAAGCCAAGCACCAGCATCACTGTGTGTGAATGTGCATCTTGACAGGCAGCAGGAGAAAACTGTGTTTGTGTGATATGGCAGTGATAATGGCCTTTGCCTTGTCTGTGGTGCACTGGAGTGACAGTGAAATGGATGGACCTACTGTTTCAGTGCCCTGCTTGGGACTGCATTGATGGATGCATCCTCTGTAAGTCACGTTCATCATTCTTCTCTGTTTTCAGACGTGCCAAAAGATCAGCAGTTCCAGGCTGTCCAGGCTGCTATTGTCCTTCTCCCAAAGGAAAACCAAGAAGCTTTGAAAATCCTCCTGTTCTTCCTGCGAGATGTGGTTGCTTTTGTGGAGGAAAACCAGATGACCCCAACCAACATTGCTGTTTGTCTTGCACCATCTTTGTTTCACCTCAACACCCTGAGAAGGGACAGTTCCTCCTCCTCCACTAGGTATTAGCATCTTAATGCTGGCACTGCTGCTCTCCATAGTGTTCTAAGCTGGAACAATGCTGGCCTAGGGTCACTGTCTGCTTTGAAGAGGGAAATAAATAGTGTGTCTGTCTTGGGGTTTGTTTCAGCTGTGTTCAGGTACAGCAGGAGCATGCACCCACAGTGCATGGGGTGACCCAGCGGCTCCTTGTCCCGTCTAGGGAACAGCAGTGTCATGCTCCTGCCCGGTCTGTGTGCGAGGTAGCCTGCCTGCCTCACCACTGCTGTGCTCCTTGAGGCTGCCCCAGCCCCAGCTGCCCAGGAATACACCAGTCTCCAGCTGAAAGAGGGGACATTGAGATGAGCTCTGAGGCAGAAGTTCTTCCCTGTGAGGGTGCTGAGGCGCTGGCACAGGGTGCCCAGAGAAGCTGTGGCTGCCCCATGCCTGGCAGTGTTCAAGGCCAGGTTGGACACAGGGGCTGGACACAGGGTCTTGGAGCAACCTGCTAGAGTGGAAGGTGTCCCTGCCCGTGGCAGGGATTGGACTGGAGGAGCTTTAAGGTCCTTTCCAACTCAGATCATTCTATGATTCTATGATTCTATGTTTCCCACTGTCTGCATTGGCTGTTTGAAGTGGGACTCTACGCTGGGAGCCTAAGCCCAGGTGGAACTTTAAGGCCCTGCAGGTATCTGGCAGGCTGCAGCAGGTGGTAGCACCAGTTCTGCTGTGTGATAAGGGGATCGTTCCTGCCAAACCCAGCCACCACGATGCTGTCAATTTACCTTAATAAGTAAAAGTCTCTGGGCTGCATCAGATCCCGTTTGTACGTGCAGGGAGGAAGGTGCCCTTGGGCCAAAGGAGACAAATAATCTCTGAGAGCATTCATGCCTTATCTGGTCTCCTGAGCAGGGCTGTTTGCTCCGTGCTCCTGTGTACGGACAGACATTTGTCAGGGTAGAGGACAGCTGCCTGGTGGAAACAGTGTGCACCCTCAGAGCAGCAGTTCATTGCCTCACCGAGGGGAGCTGAAGATGAGGACGAGCTCCAAAGCAGAAGCTGTCAGATGTGCTGCTGGCATCTTTCAGGGTAATGCGCAGGCTCTGGGGGACACAGAGTGGGAAAGAAAACATGAAGGCTTTTCTTGTGAGTTGCTCAGAAGATGTGAAGATGCCCAAGTGCACCCAGAGCCCAGGGCTGAGCCAGCGCGATGGAGCTTTAGTGGCAGCAGGTCCTGCAGGTCCTGCTGGGCTTGTGCTGTGTTTGAGCCCCTGGGAGTCACACTTGGAGGCTGTACCTCCTTGGCTTATGATCATTACTCTGAAATACTGGGACCAAAAATAGAGACAGAGTTTTCTCTTTGTTGTCACTGTTTAAAAGCCAGAATGCTTTGAAGCTTCAGCTTCTTTGTAACTGGGCATTAATGCCGCAGTGTAGGGTTCTGACTTCAAAGGGCAGGAGCTGACAGGTCTGACTTTGAGGAACAGTGCTGAGGGCTCTTATCTTCTACCCAATTTTC